AACTTCTGACTTGATATGTCAGTTCAGAGCCTGTGAGGGTAATGTCTTGTTGGTAATACAGGTCGAGGTGCTCCCGATTAAAGGCAAGTTGATTGCCCAGACGTGTAGGCACTGGTGTGGAGGCAAATTGTGTGAGGCAGGAAGAGGTTTGTGGTGATCACAAGGGCAGGTCAAACACTTGGGGCACCTTGCTCGAACCTCAGCTGTCTGAGTGTGTTCATGATTGGGGTCCCTACTCAAATTCCTGCTGTCTGTTTCACACCCTGTGGTTTTCACTCAGTGGTCCCTGCCCGGTGTAACTTACGCAAGTGCCCTCACACAGCAGCCCCTGCCCAAGCAGCATCCTGGATCCAACCGGACCCAAAAAGTCAAGTCAAATTCCCACCAACTCACTAGCCTCTGGCTGTTCTGCAGAGTCCACAAAGTTTAGGCAGATTACCAGTGGCTGGCTTGTTTCTGGGCAGTTGGTGTGGCCCAAGAGAGCTTGGCAAAATTCCTTACCAGTGGGCACGCCCTTGGGTGCTCTCCCAGGTAATCAGCAGTGCCTCAGAAAATCCAGTCTTGACTATTGACCTTTCTCCTGCCAGATTAGTTCCACAGCAGCTCAGCTGATGGCTCTGGGCAATGGCTGGATCCGGGCAGTGCCATAGGGCTGTGGCAGGGGCTGAGACGCAGGGTTGTGGAGCTGCTGGGGGGGAGCAGGGGGAAGGGGAGTAAGCGAGGGGCTCACAAGAGCACAGGGCTGGGACACTACCACCAGGAGGTAGGGGGTGGGGTTTGGGCACTGGTGGGGGTTTATGCAGCGGCAACCTGCATGGTGGGGTCACGTGATGGTGGGCCACAGGGGGGTGGCGCAGTGGCAGGCCGTCGCTCCTCTGGGGTCACACGGTGGTTGGTGGCATTCGCTCCTCTGGGGTTATGTGGTGGCTGGCAGGCGGTTGCTCCTCCAGGGTCTCGTAGAAGCTGGGGGTGGTCGGTTGCTCCTCCAGAGTCACAGGGGTGGCAAGGGGTTTCTCCCTACTTGCTCCTGGTGGGTGGGTTCCACAGTGGCTTGGCTGGTGTCTTTTGGCTGGTACTCAGCTGTCCTGTCTGTGGTTCAAATTCCAGCTCTCTGGCTGCGCTGGGTTCCAGCTGTGCTGGGTTCTGGTTGCGCTGACATCTTTTCTTTTTGTAGTATCCTACTATGTTAGAACCCTTAAGAGTCACTAGAAACATCTGGACCTATGTTTTTCAACAGGGATACTATTGGCATTTTGTGATTATTATATTTTCATTGTGCAAGATGATCTTGTATATTGGCATATTTTTAACATCCAACACATTTCTACTACTCACTAAGAAGACAGAACTACTCTAGTTAAGACCAACCTTCCAGTCTATGTCAACCTTTTTAAAGTACTAATCAGAAGACAGACATCCAAATAGAAAGAAATTTTTCAAAGCTAGACCAACCCAGTTGCTGATCTTTGACACAAAATTCTGTCACCATTCATGCTTCTTTCTAACCTTCTCTCTGTGAACAGTATATGTTTTCTTGGTAATGAGATTGAACATTACTTGAATAAAGTAACTTTGAATAAATTACTTAATTTCTCTGAGCCTCAATCTCTTAGTCTTTAAAATGTTGAATAGGATAATAATGCCATTTATTGATTATTTACTATAAGTCAGGCATTATGTTCAGTATTTTCCAATCTTCATTTTCCCTCTTACTCCCTTTCATTTATTTCCACAGATCCTGGTTCTTCTTCTGAATTTTAGTTTTATATCTCCTTTTCTCCTCTCTCTTCTCCTTTTACTTTCTTTTCTATAACTCATCTGCTATTCTTCTCTCCTTTTTCTTCATCACACCTCTGAATATTTGGGTAATAGAACTTGAGAAAAACAGTTTACTGGCCATTCAAACTACTAACCTGGTCCAGACGATGAACAATATCTGGAAGGAAAGGAATGGTATCAATCTAAATATCAGTTGGCCTAATAAACAAATATAGCCATCAAAAAGTAAGGACCACTAAAATAAATGAAAGCACTACCTACTGTAGTGTCAAAGTACTTTTATCACTATTATTTTTGCAAATGTGTTGTGGCTCCTTCAATGGACCTAAATCCATTCTGTCCTTGTAAACTTCAAGTCAGAGCATGAAATGTGCTATGGTTTTGTATCATTTACAGGATTCTCTACTGCCTTTGAAGTACAATTTAGAAAGCACCAGCATATTTAGTTCATTCTCCTATAACAGTCAGTTAAAATGTACATAAGGAAATTTATATAAATTGTCAAATTTGTGCATTTTAAAAAACTGGAAAAGTGAAAGCTGTAACAATTAGATTTTTTTTTATATTATGTAACATGGCCTATATGTTTCTTAAAAGCACATCAGTGAAAGTAAGATTTTCAATAATATTAAAATACATGTCCTTAATATATATTGATTCGGTGACTGGGGTAATCGGGATGGGTGTGTCAGAGGCGGTGCGGTTGGCGCAGGATAGAGCAGGGTTTAGAGCTGTTGTGCATAGGGTCGC